GTAAGTAAGTATGAGAGGTAGAAGTAAATGAGTAAATAAGAGCCTGGTGAAGAAATCAGCCTTGGGTTCAGGTGTGAGCTCTGGGAGTGTGAGTGGGAGCAGGGCTGCAGTTCCAGCCAAGGAGTTGTGCCAGGATTAACTTGTCCTGTATTAAGAATATATTTTCCCTGAGGGTTGGGGTTGTTTTTGGCATGAGATACAGCTTTGACAGTAGTTGCTTTTAATTAAATCATGTTGTCTTGTTTTCGGTAGAGGAAAACTGCAGTTTAATAGTTTCCATTATCGATTCCATTTAGGAGATGAGTTCATTTCCAATAGCATCTTTTAAATGCATCTTTAATGCCTTACATTACAAAAGAGTCTTAAAGCAGTGAAGTTTATCAACCAGCTTTGTTCCAGGAAAGATCAGGTTCCTAGCCAGGCACATCCTGACATATAATTTAGCAAGTAGATGTAGGTAATATTTAAACTTACCTAAAAGAACTGCAGCATGTTCCTACTTATGTCTTCTGTCCTTCAGGCCCAGATCCACCTCCTTGGGAATGTCGTCACCTGGGCTTCAGCTAATGCTGCTGCTTTGCTCTACATGTGTCTGTCCCTGTGGTACTTGATACGACGCAGGAGAAAGATCTACGACATTCCTGAAGGTCTGATTCCATTGTGTATGTGTGTGTCAAGGTTGGACAGGGAGGGAGGGTTGCTGCTTGTTCTGCTACACTCTAATGGCTCCCAAAGCCATCATCTACAACTATGTGCTTGGCTATCCTAAAACTTTTTCCTGCCTCCAAGCCTGATATTTGTATTAGGAATACACCAACAGCTAGTGTAGCCCATGAAGAGACTGATGATGGTTATCACGTCGTGACCATCACCTCATAAGACAATAGAGTAGGCATCACGGCATTTGAGTCATTCCCTGGATGTAAGAAGCAACGAGGCCTTTGCTTTGGATTCTTCTGAGCCCCTTTAATGAGGATTTAAAAGAGGCAGATACTGGCTATGTGGGGAGGGGTTTATTCTAGATGTGC